CGACGTCGATGTGGATGGTGGGGCAGAGCCAGTGACGTCCAGCGCTGTCAGCTCAGGTGTCCCACTTGTAGTCCTCCACACAGATTGCGTGCAGTGGTACTCGAGACTACTTCTGGGTTTGGAGTGCCCTCAAGGCAGCCGGCTTTCTTTACTTTATTTGCATTTTATTTTTCCAATGGTGGTTATTCCCCCCAACAGCGCGGGGAGTATGAACCACTCCCGACAGCGATATGAGTCTTGGTGAGGTTAAACAATCAATAAGGTATTGCAGGATTAAGGTCACACAAGCTTGCCGTCTCTGATTCGTGTATCTATCTATGATACCCCGAGTTTGTGCGGCTTTGATCGAGGGCTTCCTTCATCATCAATCTGTAGATTATTGCTTTTACCCCGCGGTTGCATCGCAATGCAGAGCTCCTCGCCTAAAAACCTGTGTGCTATTATAGATACTCATATCTGGCCTTCCTATCCGCCTATATCAGCGTTGTAGTTTGCGTATATCGTTGTTCTCGTGAATCATATCCCATCCAATTATTCCCCGCTATAGCTATTTGGGTTGGATTATGCGTTCCTTCATCATATGTTCCTATGCGTTATGCAGACTGCTTTCTATGGCTCCCAGTATCAATAGGCAGAGTAAACGCCCTTCATCAAGATGTGAGCTCATCGTCACCCGAAAAGCCCCCACAGCCTCTTGCGTTTGACCTCCGGTTGATGGAAAGGTCTCAACGGGTATGTTGGCGCTACGCTGAACTGATCTGTCGATGCCGGCTTTTCCGATGGCCTTCGTCGCAACTTGTTGGGGGCAATCTCGCCAAGCTTGGTGCTGCCTGATGACATCGTTGCCATGGACATACGTTTCTCGGCTTTGAGGTGCTGTGTATAGGTAGGTTTTCCAGGTTTGGTCTCTGTTTCGTTCGCCTTCGCCGCAGACTTGAGAAGTTTGCGCTCCGAGGCTTCCCTGTCCTTCAACTTGGACTTGCTGTCTGCCGCAAGCATCCTCTTCGGATGCTTCTGCTTCTTACTTGACCCGGACGAGCTAGACTTCAAGGACGGAGTGCTAAGTCTCCGTGACAGGTCATTGATCGCTTTGACAGCGTCGACACGCGATGAGTTGGACAGAGTCTTGAGTGACTGGTAGTCAATGACCGGGTTCTGGCCTCTGGTCATGAGATGAAGCAAGTTGGTCGTGGCCGATGTAAGACGCTTAATCACTCTTCGCACAGAAGATCGAGCCACGGCTGTTGTGATACATTAGTACATGAGCTTAAAAAGCCGCTGCACGCAGAAACACGCACCGTCGCCCTTCTCAAGATGAGTCCCAGCCACGGACAGCTTTGAAGAGTATACACTTCGAACCTTGGACCTGTCAGAGCGAATGCTTCTTCGAAGTTGTCGAGGCTGCTTGTTCCCACGACCCCCCTTTAGGCCCTTCAGGAGACACAGACACTTGGAATATGTCTCCAGAAGTGAGGCGATAGTGTCGCCAAAGCCGGCCATTTTAAGCTCGCGATTTTTGACCAAGTCGGTCTTATTCAGTGTTCAATCTGCAGACGAGGATGAGCGCTGCATGTCGGATGTTTCTACATCAAATTCATCTCCTCAAGATGTTGATGAGGGGAGTGCAGGCATTTGTGTCAACGAACGAGGCTGGACTTTTGGTGGAGGGCGCGCTGTTCGGAGCCACGGAAAACGAAGCATTTTGTTTGGTCCTGTAACCGCTGTACCAAGCAACCCTGATACATCATCGGCTGATTGGCCGGTAATGCTGAGGGATTGCCTGGAGGAATACTCACATTCCTTTTCTCAACTATGGTAAAGCGTTGACGGCACATGGGAGAGAATTCATGTGGCTCCAAGAGTGAAGATAATAGAAGGAGACCAAAGAATGCCACGGGCTTAGATCCCACCGACACTATCATCACGATATTGCTGACATGCACAAGGTTCCCAGCTGCCTGTAGGCACACAAGTAACTGCAATTGACGGGAACCTGTGATGTGAGAGAGAGGAAGAGAGAGGGAGAGAGAGAGAGAGAGGGAGAGAGAGAGAGAGAGAGAGGGAGAGAGGGAGAGAGAGAGAGAGAGAGAGGGAGAGAGAGAGAGAGGGGAAATGCCTCTCTGTCAAAGATGAATACTATGAGGAGTAGACCATCGTGGACGGCAGTATGCAGCCAGCCCTGTCGATTCCATGGCAGAACCTCAGCTCGGAGTTTCGTAAAGAACACAACTATTGAACGGCAACAGGTTCAACGAGCATATTGACCTGTAAAGGAGATGGCGTCGACCCATTTTGAGGTGTGTGTATGGTGGAACTCAGCAGCCTGCCGCAGGTCTAAGTTGCCGGGGAAGGAGGCATAGCGTTTGTACGAAGTACTCGGTCTGTCGCTCTGCTCGAGACCTCGAGCTACTTGTTATCGTAGAAAGCCAGCTCGTTCGCAAATTGTCAAACGTCTGCTTCGAGTTGGCATATGTCAGATGCATGTGGTTAGAGCTTGCCACGCGTGCCACGCTCGGCATCCTTGCCTCGACGAAATGGATGGGCGGCCTCGCTCAGCGTCGCGGCGGTGAGTTAATCGAGCATATCGGGTTGTCATCCGTTATCCGCCGGTAGAGGCTTTGGATCGTTGATAAGGCACATGGGGTCAGGGACCAAAGCAGGGCTTTCCAAATCCAGGGTTGCCAGAGCCGACAAGGGTCAGTCTGGGAGAGAATGGCCATAAGGATAAGGGAGTTGGCACTTTGGGTTCGAATAAAGGTCGGGATCGGATGGCGTTTCCGCAAGGAAGCCAGTCGCCATGGTAGACGGCAGACCAATGGCATGCTCGGGAGATCTCACCGAGTGTCGCGATTGTGTATAAGGTTCGGTGAAACACATTGTACCTTGACGAACAAGGTCAAGTCGGGTTTACATTCATCGTTCTTTGACTTTGTGAAAGCAGCAAGCAGGTGTGGCAGGAGGTGACGTCGGCAGCTCGAGGCGGTCGGTCTCGTTGATCTGCACGATACTACTTGTAAGGTAGAGATGCAGATAGCGGCCTACCTCACCGATGTACACATTCATGTTCCGGTCTGCTGTGCACCCTGATTTAGCTGCACAGATGCCGCCAATCGCCTTGCTATGTATGTACGGAAGTATAAGTGCACAGCACGGATGGTGGGGCGATGCATCGTCGCAATACTGATGTCTCATTGTCCAATGGCCTAGGTAGCCATAGGTGGGAATGTTGTTAGTGAGCCCAGACGAAGGGAAAGATCTTTCGAAAGCAGCAGAGACATGGGTATCGGTACTCCGTACCAAGGGAAAGAGTCATCTCAATCTGCGCATGTGAGGCTGCGATCTAGGTAACAAAGTATTGTAGGATCTCTATCTGAGGTGGCGTAAACCTGCATGGCCGAAAGTCGGCGGCAATACCATCTTGACGAGTGCGGGCACTGGGATCTGGCAGTTGGCAAGCGCGACCCACGCGGCTCTTTTTTTTTATTTTTTTATTTTTTTCTCACCAAAGGTATCTCGTGCGCGGGTTCCTGATCCAAACAATTACCTAACAATCACCCGCCATGCAGCGTCATGAGGTGCGTGGTAGCTAGTGGTCAGGACTGAAGACTCAGCAAAGATTCGACTAGGTATGTACTGAGAAGTTCTGATCCATCAGGTGTCGAGTGCAAAAATTCCACGTCCGAACCGGCCGACTGCAATCGGACCCCTGCTCAACAGCGCCCGCAGCCGTTCGTTCCATGCTCTCACGGGAGGCACTAGACATGATTGCACATGTGAATGATTGATACCCACGGATACCGGTACTGTACTCCGTACGGTCCGTACCCAACGGCAGCAGCAACTCATAGGCAGAGAATGTGAGGTAAGGTATAGACTAGCGAGCAGGCACGCCGCACACATGGAGGATATCTGCGTCTTCCATTGGGTTGGTAAGACTTTGATGGTTGCAGTGCGTCTTATCTGGTTGGTCCCCCACATGGACCACTCAGAGGCTGTCTCTCGAGCATCTGACGGGCGCACATGGGTGGGCGCCGACGGGAGAGCGTGGGAGGGCTCTTGCTTCTCCTTGGATGCTTGCCTTTGGTACCTTGACGAAACCAGGAATAACCGTCTTGCACCACATGGCAACCGTCTGGCGCGAGTGAAGATGTCGGCACAGTGGCGGCGAATTGCGTGCGGGCTGCGGGCGTCGGGTGAGGTCAAGGCCAACCTCGATATCTTGCTTGCCTTTTTTTTTTCCTGTTAGTTTTCCTCCAAACTAGTTACTCCCCTAGACAAGCATATTGGTACGGTATTCCAAGATGTGCGCAACAAAGCGCCACCGTGTTGCTGGTGTTGATGGTTTGGCCGTGAGGTGTTTGGGGGCTCCATTTGGTTGAGCTGATTGATAACCTGAACTGTCATGTCGAAAAACGGCGCGGCGGGCATACCCCGGCTAGTGTGGGATTCCTGCCTATTATCTGACCTAGCTTCCGTAAGTACCTCTCCTGGTAGGAAATACATGGAGTTTGGAGTGTGTGGCAGCCAAGTGCTAGGTATCCCTATTTGGCTTTCCAGGGGAACGGCCAGTGCGATTGGAATAAAGGTACCCGTAGACCTAGGTAGGTTAGGTAAGGAAGCCCCCAACCTTCATGCTTCCCCTACGAATGAAATCATACCCTCGGCCCCTCCTCCTTCCCCCCCCCCCGTCCCCCCAGCGGTCCCCCTCACCCCCAATCTCGCGCGAATAATCCACTGTCCCGCCTGCCGCTTCCCGCTTCCCCGTATGATGGAGTAGTGTAGCGTATTCATCCGCACACCATAGTCTCATACTGAGGTAGGCGGATGGACAGTGACCGTCAAAAGAGAAGGAGAGGAAGGGACAACAAGAGAGAAACTTGTGAGAAGACGGGAACTACTTTACGAACCTAATGTTACCAGTGCCTTGTTGGCCAAGGTAAATAGTTACCTTCGCAGCAGCCATCCATCTCAGGTAGGCCGTACGGGCAGCCGGAACCTAGCTAAGGTACCTTAATCAGGCCAGCCTCGCCCTTTCGCACTTTGCGACGAACTCCAATTCCCTCATTCTTCCCGGCCCTGACGAATCTGGCCCTCGAATCATTGACAGATATCTGCCATGGCCCCCGTCTGCACTGCAATGCGCGCTGCATCGCTCACAGCCCTTTCGATGGAATTAGACCTCACCTCGCCATCCTCACCACGTAAGCGACCCTGATTATTTCTCTTTTGTCGTCACGTCTTTTGTATTTACTCTCTGCCCAAGCCTCCTCTGCACGTCGGGAAATTGACCCCCCCCGATCCATACTGCGTAGTGTGTGCTGTGGGAGTGAACGGTTGAACATTCAGAAGAATATCCGTAGGTGCTGGCTGCGCTGCAAAACTTGACAAACCGCTCCTCTTCTCGGCTTCTCTCCCCTAGACCCCCCTGTCACCCTGCGGCTTGCCCACCCCCCCTCCCCCTTGCCCCTTCGACACGACACGCCTTTTTATCTCCTTCCAATGCCACTTCCTTTCCGCTCCGCCCACGTCTGCAACTTTTGCCCATCCGTCTCTCGAGGCCCACTACCTTCACCCTCGCCCTTCCTTTTCCCAACCTGAATCGCCGCATCTCATGTATTACAATCGCCTTGTCTACCTTACGATACCATGACTCTCCCGACCTTATTCTCCCTAATCGCAACCCCAGTCATTCCCATCCGTCCTGCTCGCCGCTCAAACTGAGTACCTGACCGAGTACGCATACGGAGTGTGCAGTACAGTCATTGTCTTCTAGCACCAACAAATAGCCACGTCCACATCCGGGTCTACGACACACGTTGCCCGCACAAGTCCTGCCACCGCTATCACCGTACCGTATCTTATTCTCACTCCTCCGCCCCGCTGGCCCCATCATCATCCCGTGCTTCTTCTGCTGTACGACGAGATACCCATCTCGTCGCGTATCGCAACTCCCAGCTCGGTTCCTGGTATTCTACCTTACCCCAGACATCGAACCCCGAATCTAGGCACCTCGCCCAGACCCACGCCTTGATCTTCCCGGTCCCGGTCCACCTCCCGGTTGTTGGCCTGCTATCTAAAGAGCCGTCCCCGCCAACCCTCACAACATCTAACTTTCCCTTCTGTTTACTCGCCCTTTGCTACCTGATCAAGCCCGTACTTCTTGGTTGGCCTTCTGCATTTCCGACCACCATCACTGACCTTTAACCGTCAATCTTCGACATCCATTCCATGGCTCAACCATTCATCCTCGCTGCATCGTATTCAGTGTCTCCTGCGCGCCCTCTCTGAAGCACTGGCAATCGCCCCGACGGTGACTAGCACTATCGACTGTAGTCACACTTCACTCAACCTCTCCTGTTTTAGCAGCCGCTGGTCTCATCTGAAGAAAGCTCATCACGAAGAACATCAACACCAACTCACCCTTCATGTCGACGACTTCATCTCCCTCGCCGTTGCAAGGCCCAACTGGCCGTGTCGATGAGAAATCTCTACCCCAGGGTCAGTGCCGCTACATATTGCTCGTACCTGGCATCAAAGGCCAACGATGCGCTTGTGTTCACTTTTCTCTCAATCGATCTACGCCCGGCGCTAGTTGCGACTGTGGGCACATGGCTTGCTATCATGTCAAGACCCCAGAGCCGTCATCGACCAGAGAGGAGGTCGAACTTCTGAAGCAGCGACTTCAAGCCCTCGAAGAACAACTTGACCAGCAGAGACAAGGCGGCCTTGGAACCGTCGTTGCCAGAGTGAGCGAACTGGAAGACCTTGTCGACAAAAGCCGTGAAGAGATAGGCCAGGAGATCAAGGGCTCTTATCGCAACATCAACAGAGTATGGCAGTCTGTAGAGCAGCTTGAGCGTCAAACCTCCCACCTTCGAGAAGCCCTACGCTCCCAGTCAGAACACATGGAACGTGTCAACGGGGAGTTGGAGAGCGTCAGCAATCGACAATTGGAGCTTTTCGACGCCGACGAAAGCATCGAAGAGAGACTGGATCAGCTAGAGTCGGACCATGATTCTTTAGCCAGTCGAGGTGGCCAGGTCCCGAACATGACAGAGGAAGCAATCTTGTCCCGGCCAGACGCTGTGACGGCCTCCAACCGGCAACAGTCGCTGGGTGCCACTCTGTATTCACAGCCCGAGGCTGAGGTCATTCCAGGAGAAACCATCCGTACCTCGCCAACCCTCAGCACCGCCGATTCCAACACAAGTTCAAGCAACTGTGGAGCTTGGACAGTTCATATTTCGCTTCTTCCGACAGCCTCTCAGCCTTTCCCATTCGAAAGGGACACCAACGCCTACAAGCGCTGCTTGTCCCGAGGGCTCCACCGGACTGTAGTAGTTGGCGGTCCAGATAGTGACTCTTTTGTTGAGGCTGTTACAAAATCCTTCGGTAGCCTGCTCAGAGGAAGATCCTGGATGCCTCTACAGGCCAAGCTTTGCGACGCAGAAAGGCTCCAAGGGCTTCCCATGCTCAGGCCACTGGACTCCAGACTTGTTGACAGCGACTATGATCTCAACTTTCTCAAGAAATTTTGCGGCGTCTGCGAGGCCAACGGCAAGATCGATTCTCTATATATAGCCATGCGCCAGGACAAGTTTTCATGGCACTTTCTACGAAACTCTCCAATATTCATAGAGGGTCTCGAGAATTGCTGGATTTACGATCACTTCTTAGATCCAAACGACCCAGTTGAAGATGATCGCATGGAAGAGCATGATCGACCCTCCGCCGGAGACATTGTCCCGAGTCTTCCAAACCTGAAACGAGCAGCATCCGAGATGTCGCGAACAGCTGGCTTAACAGCTGCCACGACAGGCAGCGATTCTGACGGCTCTCGAACCAAGACACCCCGGACCTCTTGCCTGCCAAGTCTAGTTGAATCGCGGAGGCGTGTAGAGACTGTGTGAGACACTTGGTCTCTTTCCTTTTCCGTTATTTTCCCCGTCTAGCTTTGGCCTGTGGGATCTGTTTTTACTGCATTTTAGACGCGTGGTTGGCGTCCAGGACCCGTTGATTTGAAGCAGCAGTGGCGAATGTTTCACGAATGAGGTCTTTCGAGACGATAGAAGGTTGATCCACCTGATAGAGGACATTTATACCCATTTCATTTATTCACGCCCAAGGGCACAAAGAAGCACTGTCTTGGTCACTTTCCTACACATGTACAGCGGAATGGAGATTCAGAAAGAGACAAAAAGTCCTTGAGATAGTTTAGTGATAGTCTAAGGTAGGATAAGGTAGTCTTGGTCTTTTGAACAAAAAGTCACCTGTCACAATGCTGTGCCTAATTCGAGGTGTAATGGGACTGCAAATTTTCGGCGTGGCAGGCTTGTTATTTTTCTCAACGTCGATGGCTCCCGCCTGTGAAATCAAGTTGGCATGCCGGTAGAGCCCGAATCGGAGGACCTTTGGACTAGACGGAAGTAAAATTAGCGGGGAGAACAGGACTCGGAGCCGGTGAGACCCGGCAGGTGCCGGAACACAGTGCCTCCCACCTGGCGTAGGTTCTCCGTATCCACTAAACCAAAAGTGGAAATGGTGCTGCTGAGCACAGTCAGCCTCATTCTCCACGACGCTAAGCGGCCGAAGCTCTTTCGGCCTGTAAGCTCCGACAAGTAGACGTCGGGTTGATCAATGGCCCTTTTATCACGTAGTTTCTCTCTCTTTCTCTACAATCTTGGCCAACCCTTCCCTCCATAAACCCGCCACCTTTAAAATTTGGGGAACGTCGCCGCGCAGCTCGGCCTTCCTTCGGAGTACTCAATTACTACAAATCAAACAAGCTTGAATTCGCGGGAGCGCGTCAAGCATCTCGCGATCTGCTTCCTCATCCTCACCCCTCCACCATACGAGCGCACGCCGTCGCAGATCAAGTTCAGAACGGAAGCGCCATGGACTACGATATTAACATGGACGATGTAGCCGACGGCTTTGCACCTCCGACAGCGACGATTGGCGACGGCACAGTACGTAGCGCACCTGGTGGTGCGACTTCTACTTGCTTGCTTGCTTGCTAACCTTTAACGTCAACAGAACATCGCACAACCCGCCACAGCGCCGTCTCCCTCGAACGAACGCGACCTCGAAGATTCTACCATAGTACGTAACAAGGTACACATCCGAGGTCTGGACACATTGACCACGGACGACATCAAAATCTACGTGAAGAGTCATTTTGGTACTCCAGAGAGAGTTGAGTGGATCGATGACGAATCCGCAAACCTGCTTTTTGGGTCGGAAAGTACGGCACAAGAGGCTCTGGCAGCATTGAGCGCCATTGAAATTGCCGACGTAACTCAGTTGCCCCCTAAGGAGACGATTCCAGCCAAGGCCGTCGCATCCCACCCAGACGTCAATCTTCAAATTCGATTTGCCGTTATTTCCGACAAGAAGATACGAGGTGCTGCTGAGCGAAGCCGGTTCTACCTTCTCCACCCCGAATTTGATCCGGAGGAGAGAAGACGACGTGAGGGAAACAGAAATAGATATCGCAATCGGGACGGAGATGATCGTCACCGCAATGGCCGTGGAAGAAATCAACGCGACCGAGACTCGAGCCCTGAGGTGTTCCATGCGAGCATGTATGATGACGATGAGGACACACTGGCAGACCGAAGACCCGCACGTCACCCGAGATCTCGCTCAAGAGATTCGACGCCGCGTGACGAGCGATCCTATGCGTCTCGCAATCAGGAAAAGGAGCTGTTCCCTGGGCGGTCATCACGAGCAGGAAACCGGCAACGAAATCGCTCCGCTTCACCTATGCGGGATCTGGATGGTGACGCAGCAATGGATGTTGAGGCAGCACGCGCGCCGAGGGCCAGCAACCGAAACAATAGAGAAAGGGCATCGGGCATCAGGGATCGTCTAGCTGAAGACAACAAATCCAAGGAACTGTTTCCCATAAAGGGCTCATCGATGGGCAAGACGCATATGGACAGGGTCATGGACGGTGCGGACGAAGCCACGCGAATCATGCAGCAAAAGATGAGCGTGAGCAACGACCGCCACGGCAGGAAGGACCTATTCGATCGGGACAGAGTCGATAATGCAGGTTCAAGTGCTGGATTCTCCATCAAGGGCGCGGCGGGCGCGAACGTCAAGGAGCTGTTCCCGAGCCGCTTTGGAGGTGGTGGCAATACGGGAAAAGAGCTATTCGCTGACAAGTTAGAGGGCCGTGGCCGTCGGCGGCAGAAAGCAGAGGACCTGTTTTCTTAGCGCGTCGATACCTGGAGCGCGTATGCAATCATCTTGGTAGTTGGCAAGATGAAGGAGACTATCTTTACGACGAGTTTGGGAACACAGCCGACAGCGCACGCTGTTCATTTCAATGCCATAGAAACCTGAACTTTCGCCATGGCTAGCGTGATAGACGGCGAACTTCTTTATAGCAACCGATGTGTCCAGGCTGGGCATTGTGTGTTGAATGATTGCTCTATAGCCGCGTATATCGTCCTTCGTCACATTCTTCGTAGTTTCCAGAGGGAGTTGAAAGGATTCTGGGATAACCAGCCAACTAGAATACTCTTACGGCTGGGTAGGGAGGCAAGAGCTGTGTCGGTAAATTTCCAGGCCACTGAGGTCTCGTTGGACAGCCACTCTTGTGCATTCATTCATCCCGGAATACAGAATACCGGGGCGGAAGCAGCTGCTGGTCTTGCTCGAAGTACACGTATCATGTAGCAGCTGAGGAAGGCACGCCTAGTCTGATGTACTCGCAACTTCCAATCGGTCGAACGCGCCTGACTTCGATCCCTCGCCTGCCCTTGCTCGTTCCTTCCTCCTATCCGCGTACATGGCGATATCTCATTCAAGCTTCACCTTCATGTCCCACTCGCCCTTCACCTCAATCAATCACCCACGGTGATTCCCGCACAGAATCCGACCGCTCTCCTGCTCTTTCATATCAATGTGCCATTCGCCTTCCGAATAAGTCAAATTTGGGCCGTCAATAACAGTCGAGGTACGCGTCAAAAGGCCGTTGAAAAACATCACCTTTTCTACGTCTCTTACGATCGATCTCAAAACTCACCACTGGAAGACTCACAAGACTTCACCACGTTCGTTAATCTTACACCAAAGTACTCGATGCCGGTTTGGTTGACACACTCTTCACTAGCACAATCCAGTTGCCAACGGATATCTGCCACCAGCCAGCCAACATGGCGGACTTCTTATGGACAAAACCGTTGCCTCCCCGACGAAGAAGATCAGAGCTCACGCTGAGCAATCCATCTCCGGATGAAGAAGAATCTGTTGCGCACCTCGGCGTTCCTTCTGTTCGATCGCGCCAGTGGAAGCCCATTCCTCGCATTGCGAGTCTCGATGTTCTAAGTGCTGCTAGATTGGGCACAAGCAACTGCCCAAGCATTAAATCAGACGGCTCGCAGTCATCCTGTCATCGGCTGTCGCCATCCTCGGCAGAGCCAACTGAGCCAGCCGATACAGCCTGGTACCAAGAGCGAGACGAGACGGAACGTGCTCTCTCACTGGAGCAGATGATTAATGCGTTACACTACACGATGATGACCAAGAATGTCCTCGATCCGGTTCCCAGAGAGTACAACTCCTATATCTTGCACTTGTTAGAGGGTTACTGGGATCTCCAGGAGCGGCTGAAGAAGACAGAGCAGGAGCTCGCAGAGGAGAAGGAGACAAAGTTGAAGAGTCTTGAAGAGTTCACCAAGATGTCTGAGGAATGGGAGTCGAAAGAGGCCGACTTCCGCGCTGAGATCAAACGTATGGAACTAGTTCTTGTCGATGTAACTCCTGCAGGTGTTGGTGCAGTGGTTCTGGCGAGGTCTGGCAGTCTCGTCGACAGAAGCGCAAAATCCTCGAAACTTTTGAAGGCCAGGGTCGAGAAGGCTAAAGAAAGTCCCCAGAAAGGTACTTATTCCTTCAATAGTGGGAAGCACTCCTATCCCGTTTGCTGACCGGATGCGCGTAGGTGATGACAGCACCAGCAAAGTCGACAGCCTAGATAACACACGGATCTCTTTGGGCTCTGGGAGTCCCCTCATGAACCATCGAACCTTCTGTAAGTACCTAGGAACGCCTGCCTTCTCATTTGTACCGTGTGCATACTAACAGACCAGTGTCCATGAAACCTAAAGTAGATGACAATGCCGATGTTGAACTGAGCAAGGGTCTGAGAAAGGCCGAACGACGACAACAGCGGGCCTCGAGACGTAGGAAGAAGGAGGCCCTCTTTCCGTCGTTCAACATAGCATGGGATAGCTCATCGGAAGAAGAAGCAAACAAACCAACATCGATTCAGAAGACAACCAGGTTACCTGGCTTGGAGTCTATGAAGCCTCAACCATTACGACGAGCGGCACCATCCGCGCAGATCGCCACTCCAGAATCGTCCGCAAACGAAACCGCCGTTCCTGGAACCTGTGAGCATGCCGATACACATTACCGGTCTGACGAAGCACCACATACCGGCGTAGAATCGGCCGGAAACGGATCGGCCGCAACGGGCATGCCGAAGCAGGAGCGGCCGCCAGGTACCGACCCGGATGTCATGACGGCTACGACTGGCCGAAGAACCTTAGGGACCCGCCGCCATATGAGAGACTTCTCCTTCGACGCCGGAGAAGATAGCGTTCAGCTGCAGGCCCTGTCTGGAAAAGCTGGTATTCCTTACGGAAACGATGTTTCCGTGGGCCGGCCAGCGGCTTTCCCTCCTCAGCGCCCCCGTTCGTCAGATGAAGTAGCTCCAATGGCATCATTTACTGCAGGACCTTCCAACCAGCAGGACCAAACACTTCACAGTCATGCACAGGAGTCGCCGGACAAAGACGAAGGCAATACCCTCGAAACACGCTCTGGGGTTGAGCAAATCGGCGCAGAAGGTGGCAGACGGGCCACGAGACCTCGTCTCCTGGATAGACGGCGAAGCTCCCGCTCACACAAATCGTCGTGCGAGTCCTTAGGCAACGGCCAGAGAGCCTTCAGCGATGAAGCCTGAGGACGCGGCATGGCTATCCTAACGGACGGAAGTACCACACACGCAAACCAAGCACACATGGCAGCAAGGGAGGCCTTGAAGCGGTTGGGCAACGAGGGACAGGATCAAGGCCGGTCCCAGGTTGGTCCAGAGGCTAGAAGCAGGTATCGCGTGGTTGTGATGGTTGCGGTATTTTGCTCCGAAGGAGCGGGGTTTCTAGCAGAACGTACTTGCTCCAGGAGTTACGGTAGACTACGCTTGCTGCGGTTTCAGGGTCATGTCAACATACCTCTCTCTCCTTTCCTCCCTCCTTGCTTGGCCTGGCTAGAACATCGTCACTCCATGTGTGTCAACCGCGTCCAAAGCCCATAAAATACAGTCCAGATCGAGCCATCGTGTGGACATGACGTGTTCCATCGGATGCTTGGTGAGCTTACGCCCCCCATCATCGGACTCCTCGATCCTTACTCGCGCTTGCATGAAGCCGTTTCTGTCGGTGAGCTGGCGTATGTATGTGCCATGCCAAAATAGGAGACTAAGTTCCGCAAGAGCTCCAAACTTGGCTTGGGAAAAGGGAAAATGGATATGCCACGTGAGCTCCTGGGCCCCCCGCCGGAGACTACTTTTTTCCTTTTCTCCTGTCCTCCGAGAGGCCCATGACCCTGGCCTGAACAACCACCAGGGTTCCGGAGAGAAGCTCGCGAAGCGAAAGGGGAAAATTAAACCAACCCCTGGAACAGATCATCAGGCGAGGCCGTGGAAGAAAGAGGATACGACTGCGGGCCGTGTGCAACGGGCCGAACGCGGATGGATGTGTACAAGCTCACGGCTCGAGTTAGAGGTGGTATCTTGTGTCACTTACCATATATCATATATTCACAACATCCTCCGCCCTGAACACACTTGATCAGATTTCATATGTGACCAGAATAACGACTAACAGCCTGGTAGTCACACGATACAATACTTGAAGTCTTGTGATCGATAGTGTCGATTCCAAATATATCAGAGTTGGAAGTGATGAAAACACTGGGTAGATGAGTAGGCATCGAGACAAACTTCTCGCCAACCCAGATCAGTAGCAATGTCCGGCACGGCCAGTTACACAGAATTGGGTATGGGAAGAAAAGCCACTACCAAGCAACAGACTAGTGAAAGGCGTCAGAACCCAACGAAGCCATAGACAGTCGGGAGAGCGGGGGCTTCTTCACGCCCCCCTCGGCGGACGGAGAAAAGCCAGCGGAACGCTACTACCAAAAAAGCTCCCGCTAGTGCCCAGGCTTTGCCAGGTCAGGCTCAACATTATGTATAGAAAAAAAATCCCAAAGAGTCTAGACTTCTAGACTTTGGAGGGGGGACCGGCGTCTAGGCCCCGTTTGTTGGGGGCTGGACGGCGGAGGAACGCAATTCTATTAGCGGAAGACCGAGTGGCAGAGAGAGAGAGCGAGGGAGATGCTGCAAACAAACTTGCACCGATGCGGTCACTTGCTCCGGAGGCCCGCCTTTCCAAGCTGAAGCCATTCTGCGCGCACCACGGAGATGGTCGGACACGGATACGGCCGGACGCGGGAAGGGTAATAAAGAGGGTGTGTGACGGATGAAGGCAAGAAGGGAAAACGAAAACGGTCTTGTAACCTTGAACGCCGGCGGTTGATTAGCGAAGGCGTTTCGTTACCAGATTCCTGGGTCATTCTGTTGGGTTTTCCTAGTACAATCCTAGTCCAATCCTAGGCCGTCCACAGTCCCCCCTCCCCACGAATCTGACTTTGAGCCATGACTACTTTGAAGTACGGGTAGGACTATGATGGCAATAGTGTCGTGTCATTCGACGACTCGACCGTTGCGGTTCCAAGCCTCCGGCGTCCGCATCCTTCTAGGTGCATATTGTATTGCGCGGCGGCTTGACGGGCCCGGGGATGACCGCGTCCAGGGGTCGTGAATCGCCATTTTATTCGCGCAACGAGACTCTTGAGCACATCGCCAGAGTGGCCTCGAATAGCGTCTGGCTGAGACATCACTGTGAAGGTCCTCTTCAACATTGTCATGTGCGGAAAGCTTCTGACATCTGGGAAGAAGGGTATCGGATGAACGACTAGGGGAGAGGGAGAAAAGCTTCCACTCCTTTCCCCGCCTCGACTTGACTGTTGAAGTGACTCCGCAGAGCTATCGTCTTTGATGACTGAATGGTATCTTGGGAAATGATGCTTGTTCATAGCGAGAGCTGATGTCAACCACGGATTGCAACTACATCCCGAGATCTTCATCA